AGGTACAGAGGATACAAAATATATCTGCCTGGAGGAGTAGTGTGTGGAAGAATCCGCTGTCCAGGGCTGTACTCTATTCTGTTCTACTATTTCTTTGTGGGTGGGAGGTCAGCTTTCCTAGCCCAAGGCAATAGGGAAGCCTTCAACCTAGCAGTCTTAATGTCCTTAGGAAAAAGTGCTCAAGCTTTGCTGATAAGGCCACTCACCCAGCATACGGCCCCCCACGCACGCCATCTCTACAGGTCGTCTTTACTCACAGCTAACTGTGTGCCTGGGCCTCTCAGAACAGGTCTGCACATTCCTTGAATGGGAGGTGAGCCCTGAAAAAGAGACTCCTGGGTGTATAGGACAACGATTCAGGCTTCTCTGTTCTGGTAAAGAGAAACATTGCAAAGCTGAAGATGAGAAAGGACGGTAGGTAGCCAGCAGTCAAAACCAAGTACGGAGAAGGGCATCTGTGAGCTTTCCTGGATCTGACCCTGCAGGCGGGAAGGAAACTCTGCCACAGGCCTGTTACAGTCACCCAGCACTCTGGCCCTCCTTACTGGCTCAACAGATGTGTGGATACAAAGTTCCCATGTTCAAGAAGAGACTTAGATAGATACTCTTGCTTGAGGATTCTTGCAAGTTTGCTAATCAGGAAGCTAAACCTGCCTTTAGTTTTTCATTAGTAAAGTGAAACTCATCCCAGTTTCCTGTAGACTCTACCCTGAGGCGTTCTCAGTTCCCCTGTGCTTAGGGAATGGGCTCAGCTCCCTTGGTAGCCTTGCAGAGAAAGCGGCGACTTTCCCAGACGGCAGGGAACGTAAGAGAACTTGTTGCAGGCTGAAGGGGTGTTAGCTTCAGGGTTTTCTGTGGGTCTCACTGCCCTGTCTTCCCAGAATCCTTTGCTGGATGCCTACCCCGTTACCCGGCTGCACTGTGCTCTTAGACGGTTTCCCTTCAAAGTTACTAGTGTAAAGTCAGGAAACATGGCTACATTTCCGATTTCCTTGCTGCTTTGTTCCCCCTCAGCAGGGAACTCCAGGAACCATTTAGTTACGAACTGGTGGCCAAAGGTGTCAGATGATGTAAGCATGTTCGCACTTAGGAAACCTTAGCACAGGTTAGCTCCTGTTGCAGAAAAGGGTTATTAATGGGGTGGGGTGGGGGGGGAAGAATCATGACCTTCGCCTAACAAGTGTTGAGTTCACATGTAAAGAGGCTTTGGATGCTCTGACTCAGGACTGAGCACATGGGACCAAGTTTGCTGGCTGTGTGTGCAACATCACCTGGCACAGGGCCAGCTCTGGGTGGGCTGCTAAGCGGCCCCTGCTGGCCTGGGCCGGGCCCTTTTGCAGCTTCGGGGCTCATGATCTGTTCTGGGTTTTGTGGGGAGGTTTGGCAGCAGGCAGCTTCCTGGGGCTTCTGGGCAGCTGTCAGCCTTACCCACTTTGTCTGCCTGTTCTTTCTGCCTCCTGCATGCTGCTGAGGCAGCACTCTGGCAGACCCATGGTGCCCCTGCTCCTGACTCTTGGGTACTGTAAAGGGATGAGGAATGTCACAGCAGGGTTTCCCTCCTGCCATTCCAGAATCTTCATGCCGGTCAGGATAGAGAGTGAATCTAGCTAGTCCTGAATTTAATCTTTGAATCAGCAGGTAACAGTGGGCTGGTTTGTGGGGGTGAGGGTGCATTTCTCAAACTGGCTTAGGGCGATGATGTAGTCCATTCACCGTCTGTATTAGAATGTGACTTTCATGGGGGCCGTTTTATGGGAGCTTAAGTCTGTATCAGTAAGGGTGACCTTGCTAGCCTTTAAATCAGGGTCTCTTCTTTATACAGAAATGAGTGACATTCTGCATTCTCAGAAAAAGTACATAGTCAGACATGAAACTAATAAGCCCAGATAAATAGAAATAAAGTAAGATCTAATTAGAAGTTGTGGTGTTTATAGTAAGCCAGCTAATAGGAGGTAATACTTTATTTTGACAGTAATGCCACTTTAATGATGGATTTTCATATCGTCCTTGATCCTTTCTTCTGAGGGTATTGCCACATAAGGGACATGCGTCTCTGCAGCTGTTTTCCTGTGCTGCTGTTTCTGTGTGGGCTCTGGTCTCCAAAGAGTAAAGTCTTCCTGTGAAGTCACATCTATTAGCAAGAGTCACGGAGATTGTCAATGGTGTGACAAATGAGTGTGCTGAGAGGAAGGACTCAGGCGGATAGCCCCCTTTTAGGCGCCACTCCTGCTTCAAGGGCACACACCTGTGAGACAGTGTCCACAGCATATTCGGATGATGTTCAGGGTCACTTGTACAGCGACTGGTGAGCACGTGGGTCATCGGGCTGTGCCGGAGACCCCTCTGGCCACAACACAACTCTGTGCGGCTGTGGCCTGCGCGCTCACTCCCCGAGTCCCAGGCATGCAGCCTATAAGCAAGCATTTTAGTTGCAATATCAACAGTCTTGGCACCAGGGCTGCAGAATGTCGTCAGTGGAGCTAGCTAACAGAAGCAGTGGCTACAAGGGAAACTGATACAATCTCAGTTGTACGAAAATCCACTTTGTATGACTCCAGGCTGTACAGATGTCTGTGAGACAGTGCCGCTGTGACTGGAGGACAAACTCTATTGTCCCTCCTGTCTTGCAAAAAGGAGAAAGAATCCCGTGGGGCACCTATCCCCTGTAGCCTTCGTGGCAGGAGGGGCTGAGGTAAAGCCTCAAATCACTTACGGTTTTCCTAGGGAATGGCTTAGGGAAGACAGCTTAGATCCCATGGAATGAATACACAAGGCCGGTGATTCGGCAGTACAGTTTGCTTTCTTTGAAAAACTCTGACCTACCCATTTCTCATAAAGGCTTCCTGTGAGTCAAGGTAGAAAAGTGCAGATGGGAAGTCAGACTGATCAGGTTGTCCAGCCTTCTTCCTCTTTTATGCCCAGCTGGCTGGACAGAAGGAAAGCTGAGTGCAGCTATGAGCAAGGGTACAAGCAACTCTTGGATAATCCATTAGTTAAACACAGATTTGTGATCAGGCTCGCACCAGTGATAATTTGGGGTACCACTGTTTACTGTTATTATTTAACAAATGAATCATAGAATTTTGTGCATTTCTGCAGCCTCTCTTCCCTAAATCAACTTGCAAATCAGAACTGTGTTTATGTGTGCACTTTTTGGGTATGGATTAGCCTCCTGAAGGACATAATTCCAATAATTATCAGTGACAGAAGGGATGAATAAATTATGCTTCAAGCATAACAAAATTAACAGTAGGAATGTTTTGCATAAGCTTTTCTTAATGCATGCGCCTATGTTAAATTTAATATTCTGTACGAATGACAGGATCCTGAAAGGCTCCCAATGAGTTAATCTTAAACTCTACCTCTGCCTGCTCTGGGACAAAGAATAAAATAGAATTTAAATGCTGCAGATGTCATGATGTTTTGAAAAGCCTTTTTAATTTAAGCAAAGACTTACGATGTGAATTGCAAATCCCAACAGCCTAGATGAGTGAAATTATCAATGCCATGTTCTCTTTACAGCAGAATGCAAGGATTAAGCTTCGGGTCTTGTTCACAGAGTCAGAGCCCAGCCGGTCTCCTTTCCCTGGCCGGGAGTGTAGTGCTGGGCTGAGAGGCTGTTCTTGCTTCTTCATAGACAGAGTCACTTGCAAACCCTGAAAGGGAATGTCTTATCTCCTTCTGAGAGCCGGCAGATGCCTGGAGAGCATGGCATCTGCCGGAGAGCTAGAGCCTGCACTTGGGTTTCCATGGTGTGTGCCATTTAAAGGGAGTTCTGTGACGATGGTGGGGGGCAGGCTCATAAGTCCTCTCCTTCAGTCTGCATGTATGATCAGGACATGTGCACAGAATGAACAAGGCGACTGGAATGATGGATGCTCGCCAATCTTGTTTTCAGCAGCCTGCTCTACACCCTTTAGAGTCTGCTCTCTGCTCTACACTGCCCAGAAGGGAGGGGAGGGACTTGCCATGTCAACACAGGTCTGAGGACTAGTGAAGACTTCCTGGCCATATCTTCCCCTGAGTGAGACCATCTCCCACACACACTGAGACACTCCTGAGACAGCTGTGGCTAGATCACGGGAAGTTCCCTGGACACAGCTAACATTCAGTTCAAACAAATCCTACTTTTAACTGCCGCGCACTTGCAAACCTGTGAGTTATCAGCAAGGTTTCCGGGTACCGCCTTGTGGGGAAAAGAGGGTCGCAAGTGTGGGCAGGCCTAGGGTTTTTCTCATTAATATTACTTGATTTCTGGCCCACCTATTTCATTCTTAGCAACCGTGCATGCCAGTAGATGTACAGGGATGTGTTTGTGAGTGAATCATGTATAACACAGGGATTCCATTCTGGGAGTGTCCCCTAGCATGAAGACATGATTAGAACCATGCTGTCCTTCTGTGGACTTCAGTATCTCAGAGTGCCCACTGTGCTCTACGAGCCCTGGGAACATTTCTTAGACCCGGTGAGGGCACTGAGACTCCAGACAGCCTATTAGAGAGGTGCAAGTCGGGTAGGGTCTCAGCCTGCTTTGTGTTCTCCTGGGTGAGCACTGGCTCTGCTGTTTTCCTAGCCCTGTCCTCTGCCTCCACAGCTGCCTCCACACTGGGTGCTCTGGGAATTTTTCATGCACCATTTTCTGCAGCACGGACTGAGGAGGTAAAAGACAAAATAACACAGGGGTGTGATGTTCTCACCGGGCTTGTTCTGACAGGAAAGAAAAAAGCCCTAGGAGGTCCAAGCAATTCCCAATATATGATTATATTTATAGACACAATCTTGCCTTGGCAGAGTAGAAAGACAACTGTAGTGGGAAGGCATCCTGCAAGCATGCGCTACCAACACTGTTCATAGCACCAACTGAGAAGGGCCTGCGACAGCGGACAGCGCCCACAACTGTGCCTCAAGTAGAAAGTCCAGAACATGAGAACACTGACCTGTACGTCTGGGTTAGGACCGTGTCTTCTCTTTACAGTGGTCTCAAATGTAGGACTCTGTGGTTAGCGAATACGGCCATGGGTAGGACTGTTTATTTCTTGAATAAATTTGCCTTTAACATATTTTAAAGTGGAACAGACTTTAAAAAACCCAGTTAATATAAAAACATAACCTTCCAAGATGGCTGCAGTAAGGTGGTATAGAGTCTCGGTGGCTGAGGGCAGGGTCCTACGGGTGGCTGGCACTATGTGATTTTCTTCTTGATGGCAGTGAGCTCTTTGTGAAGGTCATTGAACTTAGGGCGGTTCTCAGGCTTATAATCCCAACACTTCATCATGATTTTAGAAATCTCTTCTGGACAGTTCTGTGGGGCTGACATCCTGTACCCTGAAGATTCAAGAGGAGAGAACTCAGAAGGGATTCTAAGATAGGAACATCCACAAAGGACATTATGCTGTAAGGGGGATAGAAACTAAAGATCGCTGTCAGTGTCCTGTGTCCCCTCCGGCAGATGACAGAGAGCACACCGTTAGAGAGCATGTATCTGTCAGCAGGTCTGCAGTGAGCTGTAGCATACACAAATGCATATCTGAGTTCTGAGGATTAGCTTCCAGAATGATCAGACAGAGGGAGTCTGGAGATGGGGGGTTTATACACTCTGTATTCAACAGTGGCTGCTGCCTGGCTGGGCCCTGTGCTAGGTGGTGTGTGTGCGAGGACGGAAGGCAGACCACCCTACACTTGGGCTACCCAAGGCAGGCTGGGCAGCCATCTGCTCAGGACATTCCTCGCGGTGGAAGCTGTGTCCTAGACAAGCAGGAGTACCAAGCAGGAGTCTCTAGCAGGAGTACCATGGCATTTCTCTAAACTCCCTCTGGAAACTAGGAGCATCTCAGCATGCAGTACTGCAGGGACTTACGTGGTGTGGAATGCCACACTGCTCTATGGCGGCCTGCCTCCTTTCACCTCAGTGGGGCAGGATAAAGTGCTAGAGTCCCTGCGATGGATCCCATCGTCATGGGCTGCGAGACAGCAGGATGGTCTCTGCACAGCTCACACCTGAGAACTGTGCATTTAACTTACAAAACAGACTGCAAAGGGAAAGGGTATTTTAGGTGAGCCCACAGGTGTGCTGACCCTGTTCACAGATGGGTTGGCCTGGTTTGCAAGTGTTTGCCTCTGCTCTGTGGGAGCCATAGCACCCATGGTATTTGGAAACAGACTCTTCTGACATTTTCCCTCTTCACAGCACTGTGACTCATCCCTCCACATCTGGTGCACAGACGCGCCATAGGCCCTGCTGTGAGGCTGGTGGCCATGACACTGTGGCCTGGGCTTACCTCTTTCCACCTGCTCCCGAGCCTGCTGGTTTGTCATTCCAGGGTACGGACAGACTCCGAGGCTGAAGGTCTCCCAGAGGAGGATGCCAAAGCTCCAGACGTCACTTTCCGAGCTGTACCTCCCTGAAAGGGAGGAAACGGTCACAGCCAGGTGAGTGAATGGGAAAAAGGACAAAGGCTAAGGGTGTGAGTCACATGGCTCTGCTTCCAAAGGAATGGCATGGCTACATCCCATTCCCGGTACTTGTGAGTCCCGGGCCCAGGAAATGTTAACAATTAAATGGAGCCTTAGAAGGCTGATTTAATCAAATCAGCTATAATGCAGCCGGCATGCAGGCCTAGTTCCCCCTGTGGTATATGAATGAGATGGTTGGTGTATATATAAAAATATAAATTTGCACACATCAGTGCCTAGGAGATTAGATAAGTTGGATTCCTACAGTTTGGTCTTCTGCCTCCATCATTTTCTTTCCAGTAAAATTACAAACAAACTTAAAGCAATAAGGAAAGCGTCTAAACTTCAGGTTCTTTTACTCATCACTGTTTACAGATATTCTTACATGCTTTAAGGTCTCATTTTCTCCGCTGATAGTTTCATTTGCAGAAAATGCATTTCTCTATCTGGTTTGAATGGAGTGGAAATTAGCATAGCTGGCTGATAAAAACAACTTTTTCAAATTACATGGTGCCTCGTTTTGTCAAAATATCACTGTGCACCTGTTTTAGTGAGCTACTTGAGCTGAACTCCTAGATTTAATTTTTAGTAGCTTTTAGCGGAAGTCCTACTAACGATGCCGCTGCCTTCAGATGGGTATGACGTCAGGGACAGGCAGCACAAACACTTCTCCAAGCCGATCTGCACTTGTGAGACTTGTCCAATGCACAGCAAGTCTCACTGTTAAAATCACACTCCACCTGCAACCATGTTAAGGCTTCTTCTGCCTTTTTTTTTTTTTTTTTTCAGAGAGGGTCAAATGTTGCCTAGGCTGGGGATTACAGGCTTGTGTCCCCACAACTTCAAGGTTTCTTGAATCATAGCCTTTTCTATCCATCTGCTACTCCAGGATTTACAAATGCCACTCCTAGAAATGGTATGTTCCTCTAAAATACAATGGCCTCTTCCACTTCTGAAGAAACTGAGATGGCCAGAGAGTCTGCCCATGCTTGGATGGTATTCTGGGTCTGGAGCACTCACACTCCACTTTGAGCTTTTCAAGAAACTCCTTCAGTGGTAAAGGTGAAGGCTCACGTGGAACTAAGTGAAGCTCTGTAGACACGTATCTTACACTCGTATCTTACACTCTAAGTCCAGTCTGGTGAGACCAACGGAGGCGCTCCCTATGCAAACAGATCACACTACAGATCTCACTGCTGGAAGCCTGTGCAGGGACCGGCCTGACCCGTGAACCTGGCTTCGGTGGGTCCGTGTAGGTCAGGGCAGGGTGTCCTTGCAGTGCCCGTCTGGGAAGACAGGCACTACAGTCTGCAAGGCCACAGCACTGGAGACATCGTGCTCAGGTCCTGTCACTGACAACGTGACTAAGCAGAAAGTGCTGTCTGCCTGTCATTCCAGGGCCTCAGGGGTTTATATCACACCGAGGAGTTTCTGTTTAGTGACAGTGTGATCTGCCACCATCCCTAAATGTCAGGTGGCAAATGGCTAACGGTTTTCAGATTATAACTACAGCGTTTCTCCCTTCTTTCCATTAATACCCTCCCATGCGTCCCTTCCCCACTCCCCATCAGGCTCTTACTGTATGTGTGCGTGCCTGTTAACAGACTATGTTACTGGTAGGTGTATTTTTAGGGCTGACCATTTCACATTAGACAACCAACTGATGTGCTCGCCTCACTGGCTTCTGCAAAACGTTTAACCCAAGACCAGTATGCTTCTTCTTTATAAAACCGGACTGAGTGTGCAAGGGATGTGGTCCCAGTACGTTATCATTTGATTGCTGGGGAGGGTTACCGTTTAAATGTGAGAAGTCCCCTGTAGGCTCTCGTGTGACCAATCCTAAGTGGTGGTGGCGTTTGGGAAGCCAATGAACCCTTGCTGGAGGAAGCAGGTCACGGTCACTGGAGGCAGCTGTGCTGCTTTGGAGCCTGGCTCACTGCGTCCTGATTGCTGCCATCTTCCTGGCCAGGACAGCCTGTCCCTCTAGAAATGAGCTCCTTCCTTGTCCCATCAGTTGCTGCTGTCAGGGTGTCTTACCAGAGCAATGAGAACGTAACCCAGCTAGATCGTCCCAAATCCATGGCTGAGAACAAGGTGCCAGTGTGGGAAAGGGAGAGTGTATGTCTAGAGGCAGGTGTGGGTAAGGGGCCCTTTACCATCGGGATTCTTAAAAAAAAAAAAAAAAAAAAGTGTATGTAAGTAACGCTAGTGACACAGCTTAATCCAACAGACCGAAGCCCTCGGACAGAGGGTCGTTTCTACTCTCTGACCTCTTCCTGAGAAATCTGGGCACTATCCCAGTCGCCCGAGAAGAGTGAAGGAAGGGTGAGCGAAGAACAGGCTTCTGGACGTGAAGTAAGTAAAAACCTGTCTGCCCTAGGTGCTTCCCTCCTGGAAGGAACAGTACAGTGTCTTCCCCCTCCTCCCCCAACTGCATCTTACAACACCTGTATCAGAGGCAGCTGGACAAATGTCCCTTTCCACTTAAAATACGCCTGTGAGGTCCATGATCTGGAGTTAGTCCTTAGGTTGGTAAATGCTTCAGTGAGGTTGGCAGTCACTAAAGCACACGGCAATCCACTGGCTGGTTTTTACTTGCCCTAAGCATGGGGGCACAAGCAGAAAACCCAGCCAAGGGGATTTTAGGAATGTTTTGTGTCTAAAGCAACCCTCTGTGCAAACACAAGTGTTACAGTCTTAGCTTTCAGTGACTTCCCTTTACTCCTGCAGCCATGAGGAGCAGCCCCATCCTCAGGGAAGAACCCCGTGGGAAATGATGGGGTTCCATGGGAGTGTAAGGTTGGTCTACAGTACCTAGAAAGTCCACAAAGGCCCTCTTGCTGGCCCTAGGCATCTGACTCTGCCCCGACAAGATTCCAAGCCAATTACACTCGATTTTTTACATAGAAAAAAATTTGGTGGCTCCTCAAGAAGTTAAACAAATTTATACTCACATAATGGGCTGCTGGGAGCAGGAAACACCCTTGTGTGGAAGTTCAGTACTAACCAGGACAGACACACAGACAACTGTGGGATAACATGGCTGACTCCCAGGTGTTGACCTCTGGCTGCCACACACCCACCAAGGCATGTGTGTACTTCTCACAACAGAGATGTGAAAGGAAGAAAACCCCTGACCTTACAAAAGACAACACCGACCTCTCTCTGCCCCAGATTTATGTAAGCTCCAGAAACAGAGGCTGAGACCAGATGGGTGTAATGTGGAGGTGGCCCGCCCTTCCCTGAACACTAGGACTTCTCAGGTGTCTAGTCCTGCCCACTGACTCTCTTAGCCTAGCAATCTCACGTGTGTGAGCATGTAAGAGCATGTGACCGAAAGCAAGGAAGGAACATTTCCACTCCATCCGTGCTGCTCCTTCAAGTGGCTCCAGCCTGGACCCTGCTCTACCCCAGCCACACCCATGAGTTCTTTGTGCTGATGCAGGCCAGCTTTACCACCAGAAGGAAAGCCAGATTCTGCCCCCGCCCCGTACCGTAATTAAGAGCTTCCGGTGCCGTCCACTTAATGGGAATCTGCTTTAAGCCAGAAGATGAATAGACTCCGCCGTCTTCTTGCCGAGACATTCCAAAATCACTGATTTTCAGAACATTATTTTCACCGACCAGGCAGTTTCTTGCAGCCAGGTCCCTGGGTTGTAAGGAGATACAGAGAACACCCATTAAAACAGGTTGAAAGTGGCTTTCACATTTACGACTTCCACACTTTGCATTTTCAAGTCTGCAGTGTATTTATAATGAGGTTAAGAATGCTCGAGATTCACCAGGCATCCCATCAATTCTGTTCCAGGTAAAAGTCACCCAGGGCCACATCTGCATACGGAGCGGGCCACATGCTAGTTCTGGCCACAGCTAGATTTCCATTTAAATAGAAAAACAGATTCTCCTTAAAAGACAAAGTCACCGAGGAGAGAGAGAGGCTAAGAGAGTTTGACAATGTTTCTCTGTTGACTAGCTTCCCCAGGGCAGCACAGCCCAAGGGCTGCTGGGATAATGGACTGTTATCTACCATCCACAACAGTAACTGGTCACGTGGGCTGCTGAATATGTGCAGCCTGGTGTGTGGCTATAGTGGAAGCCTCCCTGCAGTTTCCCAAAGAAGGGGAAAGGGTAAGGTGGCGTGGGCCAACTCTTCTTTCCATGGTGACTTGGCCATTCCCCTCACTGTTCTTTGTATTCTACGCATCCTGGGCTGCATCACAGCTAACAGGATGAAGTCCCTTCCCCCAAGGCTAGTGAGGAGGGCGTGCAGCACAAGGTCCATACGTAAAGAAAGGTGTGAGTGTGTGCCTCTCCTTATGACAGGATTTGTGGTGCATAGACAGAAACGTGTGTAAAGGGACAGGCTCACAGAGGGACCCCCAGGTTAGACAGGCTCGTACAAAGGCCTCCTTGATAACTGGCATTTAATCAAAGACCCGAAGGAAGGGCGTGTGGCAGTCAAGTGTGACAGAGAGCACAGCCTCCCACATCCCTTCCTTCCACTTTAGTAAAAGAATCCCGAGTTTAGCTGAATGTTTTGCCATATGGTTTTTAAACCATGAAGCTTCTCATGTCTCCTGTAGTGAGGTGTGGCTGTGCTTTAAGAGCCGTCCAATGAGATGGCAGCGGCCTAAGAATTATCTACAGTGTCCTGGCAATTGTTTTGAAGGTAAGGGGATGGATTATAGCTCTCCCTCCCTTCTACTAGCCTGAACAGGGTCACGAGAAGAACTCACACAAAGAACCATAGCAACCCTGTCAAAACAGCAGGAGACCAGGAGCCTGGATTACTTATGAGTCCTGGGGAGTTGCCAGCTGTGCTTGGTTTTGTTCTACATGAGAAGTCTTATGCAACTTAAGTGGTTTTCATTTAACTGTGTGTGTGCGTGTGTGCGTGTGTGTGTGCGTGTGTGTGTGTGTGTGCGTGTGTGTGTGTGTGTGTGCGCGCGCGCGCGCAATCGTGTTTATAAGCAGCAGATACAGGGGTAAACATGGATTTAGGTATCTTGAATTTGAGAGATCTATCAGCTATCTCCATGGAGGATGGAGTAAGCAGCTGGAATATTCTGAAGTCACAAGAGAGATCTAAGGCAGCTGCAGCTTTTAGATGGCATTGGGAAATGCATGCACTCCCAGTGTACAGACAGATGGAAGGTAGCATCCAAAGATGGGTACCCATGATGCACTGGTCTAGGGAAGGGGTGGGGGCAGCAGGGAGGCAGGAGGAGCCCTACCTGTTAAGTGAGGACAGCCTTTCAAAGAGGAATACTGACCAGTCAGCTACTGTGGAGAATACAAGGTCAGACAAGGCAGCTTGACTTGTCACCATGGGCTAGGGAGGACAGAGGGAGAACCAGAAGCCGAGGCCTCTGTTGAGCACATTTTCTGTAGCGAGGTACACAGAAGGGCTCCGGCACTAAGCGCTGCCCACCGCTGTATGTGATAGGCGGGGATATGACTGGGAAAAGTCATGAACTGTCACCTCACATTCTCAATTCTGACGTCTAATGTTCAGACATGTATGTGGTATACAGTAAGTGCTCAAACACACTTCATGAATGGACACTATCTCACATACATGACCCAGGCTGAAGGCATCCGTTCTAGTTTTTCATCTTTAATTATTTTCTCTTGAGTAAACGTTCTTCTACATTGGTTTTTGGAACATATACATGAGTCATATTTAAAGTTGTTTCTTGAAATGAGGTCTCACTGGTCCCTGGCTGGCTTTGAACTCATTTTGACCCTCCTGTCCCAACATCCCGGGGCACTAGGCTGCAGCCTACACTATCATGCCAGGTAAGTCAAACTTGAATCTTTAGCAACAGACACACCAACATCCCATGGGTGATGCTGTTTCCTGACAGTAGTCAATTAACCCTACAACTACGGAACACTTACGATCAGAGAAGTATTATTTTCCCCTTTTTAGCAGGGAAGTTGGCTGGTTGTCTGTGCAGCCATTCACAAGGAAATGTGAAGCACTCTGCTTTGCTGATTGGCTGGGACTAGTTTTATTCATTGGATTGAGACTCACAACGGAGAACCATGGAGGAAGCCCAAGTTAAAAAAAAAAAAAAAAATGAGTCTGACTCACTGCCCAGCTTTTAAAGATGGCAGCTCACCATGTCCTCCCACCGGGAGTCTACTGCCAACAAGTGACAGTGAATGGCGGCTTTATAATTAACTTCTTCTTTTGGAAGCTGCTACCCATGTTGTGTTGGGAACTCTAGGTTTTACCCATGGTTGGCCATAATACACCCCAGATCCACTAGCTTATTTGTGTGGCCTTGGCATACTTAGCTATGTTTTCCTTACCTAACAAATATAACTTGGCAGGATTAGGAGGGGTAATGCTTCTAGAGTTGCAGTATGCAGCAGACACAGCATCATCTTTGAATTAGCTACTGCTGTTACTTTCCTCCCTTATGGATTAGTAGTGTCACTGTTGACACTATTGTTACAAGAGGCCCGGGAACAACAAGTCCGTATCAGAGTATGTCATGATCACAAAGGAGAAGGCACACGACAGTGAGGGAGACTAACACATGCTTGCAGAGGTCTCCAAGGTGTTTGCATGCTCACTGTGCATGGCACACAGAGGGAGGCCCAGAAAGGGACCAGAGCCCGTCTCTTAACCAGGCCTAATCAAGCCACGCTATATAATCACTGTATCTACCCCATGTCCCGACTCCCTCCTTTTGCTTTTACCAGCCTCTGGGGATGACGAGGACATTTTTTTTTTTTTTTTCTAGTACCTTCCTAATAGTCATCAGAATAAATCTGTGGGAGATTTCTGAAAGGCTGTGGCTATGTATATTTCAGTGGATCTACTTCTAATCTTACATTCTTTTTTTGAAGAGGACAAATAGCACAGAGTTTAAATTCTGTATCCAGCCATAGATATCTTTGGTTCCACCACTTTAGCAAGCCCCTAGTGCATATGCCTGTTGGTTACAACCAAAGCCCCCAGGTGAGCCAGACAAAGTTTTCAAGGTTCATGCCTATGGATTCCAGAGTGTGATAAAAGCTTGGAAAGGCAGCACAGAAGTTTCCTCTCTTCCATTGTCCTTTAGTTCATTTGCAGCCTCTCCCAGAGCAGAATTAGTAATGAAAAACCCAACAGAAGCTGTCATCCTGCTTAGAGAACCCTGACAGTGATACCTACAAGCTAGAGCAAAGAAACCGGAGTGTGCTCGCCTCACCAAAGCCCTGAGTTGCTGTTCTGTGTGACTTAGCCACACATACGTAAACTAAGGCAATGGGCCTGGCTGTCCTAACAGCAACCAGAGGAGGATTTTAGTCTGTACTAAACTGTAAAAATTTTGTTTTGCAGCATGCTACGCAAGAGACTTGAATCTACACATTCACAATATCAAGACTACAATTCATATTGCTTAATGACCAAAACCACCTCTCTCTCCTGTTTTGGCTTTCAGAGACAGGGTTTCTCTGTGTAGCGCTGTCTGTCCTGAAACTCGCTCTGTAGACCAAGCTGGTCTTCAACTCAGAGATCCACCTGCCCCTGCCTCTGCCCCTGCATCCAGAGTGCTGGGATTAAAGGTGTGCACCACCACTGACTGGCCAACAGTCAGAACTTCTAGGTACAGGTAGGGACATGTAAAAACTTTGCTATAAAGGCCTTTAGGTTCATTCAACAGAACTCTACTCTACCCAGGGTCAAGTGACCAATTCTAGATTCTAAAGGTAAAGGTGATACAACCAACAATGTCAATTCCATGACAGCTACAAAATAGAATCACACACAAACAAAACAAAACCCAAAAAGCTTCATGGCAGCCCTTAAGATAAAACACACTTGCATGCAAAGGTGGGAATTCTTAGCAGAAATTAGGAAATCAAAATTGCAACTTTAACATACAGAGAAAGGAAAAGACTGGAAGACTGTGGAGTGGTCAGCCCCAAATGGGACATCTTCATCACACCCCTCCTCCCAAACCCCAGGGCTCGCTGGAGAAGAGGAGCAGCCAGAGTGCAAATCCAGAGGCAGTGTCCCAGCGCACAGTAGGACAACAGCACATACGAACTTAGTGGTCCTGAGAGCGTGCACAAGACCTGTGCATGTTCAAGCCAGCACGGAGAAGGGCTGTGGCACCCTTAGCCGAGGAGGCACTGGTGAGTGATGGCTGCTAAGAGTCAGTTAGGGAAGTGGGAATGTCTCTGTCTGTCTGGGAGGAGCTGGCGGGACAGGAGGCGGCTAATACATTGTACAGAATTATCAAGAAACTAAGTAGTAAAAATATATGTACACATGCAAAATCTTTGAAAACTCCAGATAAGGACCACGATATCAAATAAGAACAATGTTTCTAACGATGGAGGATTTCTCAAAACAAATGATGGCGGCCATCTTTAATTTGCTCCATTGTAAATTTCTTCTGAGTTGACCCACAGACTTCATGCTCTCCATCAACAATCTAGCAAGTACATTTGTCCAGTCAGCACAGCCCATAAAGATAAAGGCATTGTCAGAGAAGAGACACTGAAAGGATCCAGTGACTGCACATCCACTTTGCTAGAAATATTTAAGGCCAAAGGCAAATAATATGGGGGGGGGGGCATTGGGATACAAGGACGAGAAACATGATTTTTTTCATCTTCATTATCTATATAATAAAGCTGAATAGT